AGTACCGCAGCTGGATGGCATCGGCTGGGACCCCATTTATCTTGATTCCATCGATGAGCTCGTGGAATCGCCTCAGATGTGATCGAGGGCACTCCCCCTCTTTGCCTCGGAACACCACTGAACCGCGCAGCATGGTGATTACAAAGGTGCTCACCTCAAAATTATTTGCTGGCACATGAGGGTGTTGAATGGGCGACCTCATGTCCGCGGCCCTGGCGGTCCAGTAGTATCCCATGGTCTGCTCCTCGGGAAGGACCACATCATGGTCCTATGGATCACCCATCTCTTCTTCTTCTGTGATTTGCAGCTGTGCTAGCTCCTCCTCCGCAGCCAGTCGCGCCTTTAGAGCCTGATTGAAGTTCCTGCAGGTTCGTTCAAGCTCCTGGTCTAATGGTAGTAGATCTCCCGACTGGCTACAGGTCATGCACTACCTGCACACAATCAGCAAAAGCAACTCGTGAAGGCACAAAGGTGGAAGAGAGAAAATGCAGTAAAGAAAAAGCTAGAGTAACAAATTTTCACGTTTCCCCAATAACCTAGAGGTTCCCCGACAACGACGCCAAAACCTTAACACGCCAAAACACAACACCAAACTGCGACCAAGTGTAATCGCAGTCCGGAAATGCAGTAAAGTGGCAAGTTCTAAATATCAACCCGGGGTCTAGATCTACTGCCTACTCCGTGATTATCTATTATCTAGAAAACTAAGTCGATTGATTTTGGTTTTTACTGAAAGCAGAAAGAAAACAGGAATTGATTCGGTTTTTTCAAGCAAAGGAAGAGTCACTCGGGAATGAGTCCCCCTAGCTCCTTAGTTAGGTCTCAGTTGTAATTACCCTGGGTTGATTTAGTGTTGATTAGACTGCGGAAGATCCGACAGTTGCTTGGAATCTCTTAAGCTGACCAAGCCCTCTCAGTCTAACTACCCGGCAGACGACTAGTCTTCACCGGGATAGAAAGCTGAAGCAATAAGCACAAAACTCCACTACTGGAATTGGATTCCAGTACAAAGCAGTGGACTGACTAACTCTCGTATAGCCAATCTATTACTACCTAATGAAGAGGCTCTAAAAACCTAATCAGATTCTATCTATCTCAAGTTGCAGCAGAAATCAAGAAAAGCTTATCAGACTTCAATCAATTCAGTGAAACATGCATCATTCGATTAAAATCAAACAGTATGATCATCCCAAGTCATTACAATCAAATCCCTAACACATGGAACTAGGGTTCTTCATACCCAAGTGAGAGAAGGGTTCTACTCCATAGAGAGAGAGGGGAAAACAGAATACAAAGCAGTCATACTCATATCAATGGGAAGAATCTGCTCTGGGATGATGATTTTCACTCCTATGATGATCTCCAAGCTCCATTTGATGAAACCCAGCTCCAAGATCGCTTCTAGGATGTGTTCTTCGCACTTTCTCTCTCTAGGGCTCTGTTTTTGCTCTGAAAAGTTGATCCCCTCACTTGTGGCTCGAATTTGGGTTTAAACCAGAATTCCCGACTCACACAGGCATGCCACACGACCGTGTGGCTTACCCAGATGCCTGTGTGAGAGACAAAACGCCGAGTTTCGATTAATTGAACTTCAGGCTACCTACACGGCCAGGGACACACGGCCTTGTGGAGTCTTATGTCTGCCCGTGTGAAGCCTCGCACAATCCCACACGTCCACATTGGTTCCTTACACGGTCATGTGGGTTTTATGGGTGCCCGTGTGGCTTCCTCAGCGACTCGCCAAACGTCCGATCTTCGTCCAATCGACCCCAAACTTGCTCTCAAACCTTCATTCACGTACTAGGACCTGAAATATACAAACAAGCACAACCTAGCGTGAAATCAGCCTAAAACACGAGAACCAACAACTCAAACGCCTCAGGAATAGGGGTAAAAACATGTGCAATTAACGGTTTATCACCCCACTGGTCAAGAGTGAGTGATTCATTTCCTTGATCTTTATGCTCTTTACCCCGGTGAGGACCTAGATGGCTCGGTCTTGATTCTGATGTCTTGAGTTTGATGCATGCGTTGACTGTCTTGATCAAGTGGTTGAGTCAAGTCTATGTTGGTTGGTGAACATAAATGATTCCTCTTCCTTCTCCCGATTTTGCTGCACTCGAATGTCCTCTGTGGTGGTTGTCTAGGTTTCTGTTGAGTTGTCCATATGTCAATGATAAAAAGCCAGTATGATTCACGTGTTCTGTGCCTTTATGATTTGTCCCCAAAGTTGATATGATTGAAATATGTTGAGCTTACCTTGTATCTGACTTGGTTTGCTTGGGGACAAGCAAACGGTTAAATGTGGGGGAATTTGATGACTTGATATTTACACATGTTTTTATCCACCATTCTTATGTCGTTTGAGCCTCATTTCTCGTATCTTAGGTTGATTTCACGCTAGGTTGTTCTTGTTTGTGTTATTTCAGGTCCCAGTACGTGATTGGAGGTTTGGGAGCGAGTTTCGGGTCGATTGAACGAAAGTTGGACGTCTGGGGAGGAGCTGAGGAATCTACACGGCCATACCTAGCAGCCACACGGCCGTGTGGTGTGGCCATGTGGAATCCCATTACGCAGCCAAGCCACACTGGCCGTATATTGGACCCCTTGTGGCCGTGTGGAAAATCCAGGGAGCTCACACAGCCAGACTGGAAATCCACACTGCCGTGTGCCTCTGGCCGTGCAGCGTGCCTGAAGTCCACTAATCAAAACGCGGCGTTTCCACATTCACACGGGCAGACTGGAAAGCCACACGCCCGTGTGGCCTGGCCGTGTGGTCAGGAAATTCTGGATTTTGGAGCCCTAGAGAGAGAAAGTGCGAAGAACACCCCCTAAGAGTGGTTTTGGAGCTGGGTTTCATCAACCAAGCTTAGAAATCACCCTTAGAGCGGAGATCATCATCCTAGAGCAGATTCTTCCCATCTTGATGAGTATGACTGCTTTGTTTTTTTGTTTTTTTGAAGCATGATCATCTTTTATTGATTTCTGCTGCAACCTGAGATCAAATAGAATATGATTAGGTTGTTAGAGCTTCTTCAATCGGTAGTAGTGAATCGATTATACGAGAGTTAGTCAATTCACTCCTTTGTACTGGAATTCAGTTCCAGTAGTGGAGTTCTGTGTTCAAAGCCTCAGCTTTCTATCCCGGTGAAGACTAGTCGTCTGCCGGGTAGTTTGACTAAGAGGGCTTGGTCAGCTTAAGAGATACCAAGCTACTGTCGGATCTTCCGCAGTATAATCAACAATGAAGCAACCAAAAGTAATTAGAACTGTGACCTAACTAAGGAACTAGGGGGACTCATTCCTGAGTGACTCTTCCCTTGCTTTAGAAAACCGAATCATTTCCTGCTTTCTTACTACTTTTAGTTAAAACCACAATGACTCGACTTAGTTTGCTAGATAATAAATAATCACGGAGTAGGCAGTAGATCTAGGCCCCGGGTTGACAAATAGAGCTTGCCACTTACTGCATATCCGGACTGCGGTTACACTTGGTCGCAGTTTGGTGTTGTGTGTTAGTGTGTCAATACTCAGCCTTTGCAGAAGAACGAGCGACGACAGTTTGTTTCTTTGTACGCCAAGAAATGGGAGAGGAACCAAGGGTGATGAAATAACCAGTCGTGGAGCGGCGAGTAAGAGGACAACCGCCCCAGTCCGCATCACAGAACACAGTTAAGGTGAGAGGGGAATCAGTAGCGAAGAAAAGGCCTCGACTAGGAGAGGACTTAAGATACCAAAGCACACACACAGCAGCGGCTTCATGCGCCTGGGTAGTAGTCTGAATAGCCTGACTGAGGAGGTTAACCGCATATGTGATATCAGGACGGGTGACAGTAAGATAGAGAAGACGTCCAACCAGGCGAGGATAGGCCCTCAGATCCACTGCCGGAGGAGAATGAGTGCAACCTAGCTGATGTTGCTGGTCGATAGGTGTGGAGCAAGGCTTAACAGCCTCAAAACCAGCATCAGCCAAGATGTCTAAAACATACTTATGCTGATTGAGAACAAGACCACGCGGAGAACCAGCCACTTCGATCCCCAAAAAATACTTGAGCTGACCAAGATCTTTAATGGTGAAGCGATAATGGAGAAAAGCCTTCACTCGAGCGATGAAATCTAAATCAGTACCAGCCAGGATGACATCGTCAATGTAGATAAGTGCAGTGACAAACTCGGCACAACGACGATAAGTGGTAAGAGCATGGTCAGCACTACTAGCAACGAATCGAAGCTCAAGTAGTGCCTGCGTAAATTTCTAATACCAGTTGCGAGATGCCTGATGGAGACCGTAAATAGATTTATGTAAACGACAGACGCTAGTGTCACCAGGAGCAGCAAACCCTTGAGGAATGGCCATATAGACTTCCTCATCAAGATCACCATGCAGGAAGGCATTATTGACATCAAACTTATGAATATGCCATCCGCGAGTAATGGCAATAGCCAACAAACAGCACACCGTGACTAACTTAGCGACCGAAGCAAAGGTATCATGAAAATCCACCCCCTCCACGTGGGTGAAACCTTTCGTGACAAGACGAGCCTTGAAGCGATCGATAGAACCATCCGGAAGACATTTTATCTTATACACCCACTTGCATGCGATGCATTTCTTACCGGGTGACAAAGGAACAATGGACCATGTGCCATTTTTGACTAGAGCAAGAAACTCACGAACCATGGCATCTCGCCAGTGCTTATAACGAACAGCTTGGTAGAAGTGAGCAGGCTCGTGGGCAGCACTAACAACAGCAACGAAGGCATGATGAGCAATGGATAGCCAATGGTACGTGACATAATCATCCACGGGATAACGAACAGTGGCAGAGTGAGCTTCCCCTGGAAGATCAACGTCAAAGCCGCGCAGGCGAGTGGAAGGGAACCTTACCCTGTCACCACGTCGAACAACAAGGGGAGCCGAGTCCGGGGAAGCAAGTGCCTCGGCAGCAGGAGAGGCATGGGAAGCATCCTGTGTGGTGGAAGACGGCTCTGGCGAGGCAATGGGATCTGGGGAAATTGGCGAAGTCCCCATGCGCAGACTAGTAGCTAGCAAAGTCTCCATTTGCGGACTAGTAGAGGGCGGAGTCTCCGTTTGTGGACTAGACGACGGAGGAGAAGCCAACTCAGGAGGGTCGAGGGCCAAGTCCAGCATGGCATCCTCGGCGAGATCAAGAAAAGCAGCACTGATCGTGGGAGGAAAAGAAACCCGAGTAGGGGTGATGGGGCCATCCTAGGCAAAGTCTCGATAAGGGAACACAGATTCGAGAGACTGAACATCACGAGAGGTATAGATGGTGTGCTTCTCAAGATCATAAACGCGATAGCCACGCCGAGAAGAAGGATAGCCCAGAAAAATGACCGCACCACCACGTGCACCAAACTTGTGAAGCCCATGATGGTTATCTCAAACATAAACTAAACAGCCAAAGCTCCGGAGATGATCATAAGCGGGATCCTTATTGAACAAGACCCAAAAAGGCAATTTGTGGCTAATCGTAACCAGTGGCATGCGATTAATAAGGTAGGTTGTGGTCAAGACACACTCACCCCAAAATTTGAGAGGGAGATTAACATGAAAACGCAGAGCACGAGCACTGTCTAACAGGTGGCGATGTTTGCGCTCCACCACTCCATTCTGCTACGGAGTGTCAGTACAAGAAGTCTGTAAAACGATACCTTCTTGTTCATAGTACGCAGTCAATGCAGCAGTGGCAAATTCAGGGCAGTTGTCAGCTTGGATGCGCCGCACCCTTTTATTGAACTGGGTCCGAACAAGGTTGCAAAAGTAGAGAAGATGGCGAGCAACATTGGACTTATACTTCAACAGAAAAACCCAGACAGCACGACTAAAGTCATCCACAATAGTTAAGAAATAATGCGCGCCAGAGGTCGACGCGGTCTTATAACTTCCCCAAATGTCAACATGTGTAAGATCAAAAACTGACTTAGTATTAATGGTGCTGACCACAAAAGAATTCCGAGTTTGCTTCGCCCGTAAACAAGACCGACAAGGCTCCTTATTATGAATAAAAGAACAATGAAGTAAAGACTCCAAAGCATGTAACTTCGCTGCAGATGGATGCCCAAGATGAGAATGTCAGAGCTCGGTGCTATCCAGAGATTCTCGAACTGAGTGTGCCATCACATGATCACGTGCAAACAATCGCATGAAGTATAATATGTGAACGTGCTTACCCATCCCAATCAGCCTCTTGGACGGTAGGTCCTGAATCACACAGAAGTTACCCAAAAATATTAATGCGACTGGTAGATCAGTAGTCATCCTACTGACAGAAAGCAGGTTGCACTGAAAATCAGGAATATGGAGAACACTACGTAATAACAGATCATAAGATAGCTTTGTCGTCCCAATACTGCGAACCTGAACACCTGTACCATTGGGAATTTTAACCTGAAGAGCAGGACTCGAGTCCAACTCAGAATCCAACAAGGAAGGATCATTAACGATATGCTCGTTACAGCCAGAACCAATAACCCACGAAGCAGAAGGAACTGAGAAATTACCTCCCATATTGGAAGAAGGCTCGGCTGAACCATGGTTCAAATCACCACTGAGCAATGACTTTAATTGCTCGAATTGACGGGCCGAGAGACCGGGAAGCGGGTTGTCCGCTGCATCAACCTACGCTGCCTGCAGATTGGAGCGAGCCCCACGATCGAAATGGCGACGAGAAGGCTCTCCTTTCTCTGAATTCTTCGATGGAAAGCCAATGAGACGGTAGCAAGTCTCTTTGAAATGCCGGTGCACTTACAATGGGAGCATTTTGGCTTCCCTTCCGCATCGCGCTCCTTGTCACCATCACAGCCAGCAAGCAAGGAGGCTCGATCAACTCTCTTTTCTCCCTGCGCCTGGAAAACAGTAGCTTTGGGCCGAGGGCTCCAACTTGAGGTGATCAAGAGTTGTTGCTCGTCGTTGGTTACGAGCCGGTATGCTTCAGCGAGTGTGGGAATCGGCTTCATTGCCAATATCAGAGACTTGACGGTAGCAAAGGCGTCATCTAGCCCCATTAAAAAAATCAAACAAACGTTCTCCTTCCCAAACTTCCCTTTGACGTCTCTTAACATCACAAGTGCAGCTAGAACACGTGCATGTTAAGGAAGGAGTAAGAGATTGAATTTCATCCCACAAACCTCGCAATTTTGTCTAAAAGGCGGACACTGAGGTCTTTTCCTGCTGTAGACAGGCGATGGTTTGCTTGAGCTCGTAGAGTAGACCGCCACTTCCTTTCCCAAACCGGTCCTGCAGATCGACCCAAATTTCGCGAGCACTCGATGCGAATCGAACACTACTTCGAACCTCTTTCATCATGGAGATCTTCAACCACCCCTTTACCATGGCGTTACACCAAAGTACCGCCTCCCTTTCGGCCGGAGAACCAGCTGGAGGCAAGATTCCATCGATGAAGCACATTTTATTTTTGGCGATCAGCGAATCGGTGATATCAACCACCCATTCACCATAGTTTTCGTCCGAAAACAGCTCTCCAACGAAAAGATTTTCCAGGCTGTCTGACTGGTGAAGAATCAAATGCAACGGCAACACAACATGGGGACTAGAACCCATGACCGTCGACGATTGAGGAGCTTTACCAGAGTCCGAGGTTTTTGCAGAAGCTTCGTCGTCCGAACTCATGATTGAGACTGTGGAATCGACTCACAGCTCTGATACCATGTAAAACATGAGAAACGCGGAAAGAACAGGAGACCAGTGTTTACGTGGTTTCCCCGTTCAACTTGAACGCGAGTAGTCCACGGAGAGCTTGGAGCTCTCGGAGATGAAAATATTATGATGTTCTCTTAGTCTTGGGGTTCGGCGTCTGCGGCCATTACTTTATATACATGAAGACTAAAAACCTAACTCCTCAACACGTAAACTTGGAGTAGGCAAAATACGAAATGACCCCTACAATTAATACAAAGTGCGTAGAGATCACAACAGTTCAAGTTCAGGCATTCCTTCATCTTCAATAAAATCATAAATAAAACCCCTTAAAATCGACATGCAAACCCACAAAATAGATCTTAACTTCGCCATTGTTGACATCATCATCGTCGGCGTCTATCGCCGTCTTCGCCGCTGTCTTCGTAATCATTGCTTGTGTCCATTGCTGTTAATTCTCCCCACCGCGAGACGCCGTGACGTCATCATGATTCCAACCATTGAAGCTCCAGCTGAGGAGATAGACGATTTTCCAAGCTGATCGCTTCACCAATATAAAAGACAAAGACGAACAAGAGTGTTCAGAAGGGAAGAAATTTTTTTCATTTTCTAGGAAAAGAGAGGTTTTTTTTTACTTTTTTACGAAGGAAAAGAGAGGTTTAGGTTTAGGTACTTCGGCGACCATGATATAGTGACTTTGGGTTTCTAATTGAAGTTTATATACCCCTTCCCCCAGACGTGTAGCATGTTTACCATTTTTAAATTCTCAAATCGATTTCATTTTAAATATTAGAAGTATTTAATCCTAAACTGCAAGTAATACTATATTTAATTATTAAAAAACCTATTGATTTAAGTAGTACCATTATAGGGTGTTGTGAGATGTGAATACACTTATTCGCAACGTACATAACCGTACTTTCAAACATATAACTTGAATTCATAGACCAGGTTCCAATTTTAACCATTAATTTAAGACTGATACCAAAATAGTTTCGATCCACTTAAAGCTAAGTTAGATGGCAAATCTGAAAAGAACGTGAGTGCCCCGGTTCCAAGAAACTGTTGCGACAATATTCATTAGGACTTTGCTATGTGACTTGCAAGTCATCGTGACTTGGACAAAACGGTCAACCTGTTCAATGATATGGTCGACCTATTTGGACAAAATGGTCGACCTCTTCACTGATATAATCAACCTATTTGAAATAAATGGTCTACCTCATTGTTGGAATGGTCGACCAGATGTACTATTTTCCATTTTGCTATGTTCAACGAACGGTCAACCTCTTCCACTAAAAGACCATCCACTATACAAAAAATGGTTTACCACTTCTATCAAGGGGTGTACTACATCTTTACCCAACGATCCACCTCTTTCAATAATTGGTCCTTGTTGACCCATTGCTAGTGACATCATCATATATAATTAGAGTCCAATAATAATAGATATTTTTGCTAATATATAAGAGATTTAAAATTAGTAAAAAGGCTGCAAGCATAGATGACTAGTTTCTCGAGTGATTGTTTTCCTGTAGATTTGATAAACGTTTCGCATATTTATTTCTTTTATTGACTTACTTTGTAGAGACTTTCATCTTTCTTTCAAATTCTAAGTTTTCTTGTTTCTATCCTATAGTTGTCTTTTGATGGATCAATTTTGTTGGTGTTGTTATGAAGATGCTTAAAAAGCAAAGTATATTTGTTATACAATTGCGTCAAATTCAACTACTTAAATCTCATATCATCGCTTTTGTGGAATTTTATTCCATAAGAGTTAAAAGTGGGTGTTTCTCTTTGTCTTGGCATATAATCTGTGTAGGGATTTTGTTTGTCATAGGTGATAGGATGTTGCGTTACTACCAAACAATTTTATATTTGTTTGTCCCCTATTGTCCATTATTTTCCTAATGTAAGTATAAGGTAATTATATCATCTAGTCGATCGTTCGCTGAAAGCGGAGATCGTTTGCCAAAAGAAGTACGTAAACCATTTTGCAGAATCAGTAGGCCGTATTGGCTGAAGCTGTCTGCCTCTTCCAACAAGCAATTGTAAGTTGAAGGTAGGTGTGTCATAGGTCGACCCATTGCCAGAAGGGGTAGACCGATTACCTCAAATGGGAGATCGCTTGGTGGAATTGGTAAACCATTTTCTTAGAAAGTGGTCAGCACTTGGGGGAAGAGGTCGACCACTTTAAGGTAATTGTGTCATTAGGTCGACCCATTTCCGGAAGCGGTGGACCGGTTCACTCAAGTGGTAGACCACTTGGTAGAAGAGGTCGACCATTTTCTTGGAAAGTGGTCGACCACTTGAAGGTAAGTGTGTCATCAGGTCGACCCATTTCCTAAAGTGGTAGACCGGAAGACTCAAGTGGTAGACCACTTGGTGGAAGAGGTTGACCATTTTCTTGGAAAGAACTCGACCACTTAATGGAAAAGGTCGACCATTTTCTCCAAGTTACGGTGACTTGCAAGTCACTATAGGCATACCCTATTCATTATCTTACCTAAAATAATTTGGTTTTACCGAAACCCACAAAAATCGGTAGACAAT